TAAAAAATGTTATATAACAGAAAACTTATATGAATTCTAGTGGCCTGGTGAACAAAATTTGTGCATGGGGTGAGAGGTCCTTCAGCCCAGCCTGCACCCTCTCCAATCAGGAACCTCTTGGAGGATGTCCCACTGCCGGTTTAGGCCCGATTCCACAGGCAGATGCAATCTGGGATTGCTGGCTCCTAACCACTCATCTGCATGGCTATCTGTCTGATCTCCCCTAACCTCTCTGCCTACCTGCCTGATCGCCCCTAACTGTCCTCCCCTGCCGGCCTGATCTCAGCCCCAGCTGCCCTCCCCTGTTGGCCTGATCTCACCCCCAACTGCCATTCCCTGCAGGCCTGATCTCACCCCCAATTGTTCTCCCCTGCCGGCCTGATCTCATCCCCAACTGCCTCTTTGCCTCGGCCCCCACCACCATGGCTTTGTCCAGAAGGAAGTCAGACATCCAGAAGATGGCTGGTCGACCCTGTCTAATTAGCATATTGCCCTTTTATTAGTATAAATATATTATATAGGATAGGATTGCTTAAATGGGGGGTGGGGAGTTTTTTTCAGTAGAGGAGATGCTCTTGGCAGAAAAAATGCACAATCCCTTATATCTGTACTGATAGCCAGCTATATGCACTATACTGCCAAACCAGTCATTAAAAAATTGAACTGCTTTTTTACACCTTACACCAAACAGCTATTGCCTTTAAAGCCCTTCTTCAGTCCCCACCTTATGTTCTATCTTCACATTTCACCCAGATTAGGTTCTGATTGGTCTGTTTCTATGCCAGTCGGCATCTCCAGGCCTATCTCCGGGCCTGATCAGAGAGGCAGAGCTGATCAGCAGCTCCTGAGGAGGCCCAGAGAGAAAGAGAGGCATAGCTGCTGGCCAGGCCCAGAGAAAAAGAGCAAGGCAAGGGATCATCAACAGCTGCCATGGAGGCTACGGATAAAACCCTGCTTCTCTCTCCAGGCCTCTTCTGGGCCTGATCCCCTGCATCCCCCTCGGCAGTCAGTGCTGGGTTGAAGCGCCTGCAGCAGTGGCAGTCAGTGTTGGGCCACTCGACCAACTGACTGTAGGACTGACTTCTGGTTGGTCGAGCGTTTGGTCCTTGTGGACCCTGGTTTTTATATATTAGGATGATATACAAGGTCATGATGTAAAATGTTTTCCTTACTGAAGGTGGTGGTAAAAAAAAGTTTGAAAGTTGCTATTCTTACAGGTGTAAGTATGAAAGCTAATTATGTGATTTCTTAAAGATATACTCTGTGTGTCTTAGCACTTATTGTTGAGACTTAGTAGGCAACCCAATGGAGAAAATTATTTGAACCTGGATGAAACTTCTGATGAGATTTTGAAAAAGGACTAATAGTGGGATGAGAATAGAGACAGAGACACTAATGAACAGGCTGTTTAATAATCCAGACTAGAGATACATTGTGGCCTTTTCAACTAAATCAGTAGTAATGGGAATGGAAAGGAGAGGAAACTTATTTTAGAGGCATTTTGAAAGCTAAACTAATGAACTAAGGAATGTATGAAAAATAGTAGGTTTGAGGAACAGAATAGAAAGATAAAATGTTTAGTTCATGTTGAGATTGTAATGCTGGTGGGTAAAAACTGGGAAATAGGGGAAGGAATATATAAAACAAACTGTTAGAAAGGTAGATATGGAGCTTAGAAGTTAAAACTAGACAGGTAGTTTAAGAATTCACTCCCTTAAAGGTATGAGAGTGAATGAGGTTCTGTGGGGATAACGTATAGAGAAGAAAGCCAGGGTGAAAAGTGCAGACTGAATGGGAACAACTGTATAAAGTACAAATTGTCCATAGATATAGAACATAAAGATATTTACATTTACTAATTACCAAGCACTGTGCTTTATCTAGGTGCTTTACACTTTCTCTGTTGTTCCTTTCAATAATATGCCATTGTGCATACCAAGAATTGAAGTTGGGTAATGTAAGTGACATAGGAAGTAGTAGAGGTCAAATTTGAACTCGAGTCTGAGACTGAAGCCTTCTTCTAATTACTATACCACATTGTTTAAAAGAGCAGAGTACTTCAAGATGGAAGGAAGTGTATAAAATTTATAGTAATAATAGCTTACATTATTGAGGATGTTCTTACTGTATGCCAGAAACGGTTGAGGTCAATACTGTTGTTATATCAGCTCCTGTTTTGCAGCTAATGAAGCTGAAACATAGAGAAGTTTGTCCAAGGTTGTATATGTATTAAGTGGTACAAGTTGTTGAGCATTGTAGAATAGTTAAGTGGGATAGAATTTTAGAATAAAAAAGGCCTCCAACTTTGACTACTAGGAGGTTATTGTTGACAGTTATTCAGTGGTATTGAGTAAAAATATTAACTAACATTTATTGAGCATTTTCTGTGTAACAGGCTCTGTTCTTAAGTTCATTCTATCTTCACTACTGTTCTTGAAATACATATTATTTGTTTTATAAATGAGGAAACTGAGGCACAGATCAGTTAAGTTACTTAACCAAGTAAGAGACAGAGTTAGGAGTTAACCCAGGTGAACTGGTTTCAGAGCCCAAACTAGTACCAGTGGGCTAAATCTGGCCTGCTGCCTGTTTTATTGAATAGTTTTATTGGAACACAGCCACTCTTATTTGTGTATATTGTATCTTGTTTAAATTTGACTCCTGTAGGCAGAATTGAATAGTTGCACAGATGGTATGGTCTGAAAAGTCTAAACTATTATCTAGCTCCTTACAGAAAAAGTTTTCTTACCCTTGATAATCATTAAACTGGATGGAAAGTAAAATCTGGATGAATGCAGTCATGACCTATTTATAGAGGTTTGGCCCGTATTTAAAAGGTAGAGTTAGATCAGTTTTGACATGCATATTCTTTTGAAGCCATCACAATCCAGATAATGCATGTTTCTTTGTAATCCCTCCACTCTGTGCCTCCCTGAGCTTCCTTTTCCCAATTTGATAAGTTGTGTTTTATTTTCATTTGTGCAAAAATACTTTCTAATTTTCTCTTCTTTGATTCATGAATTATTTAGAAGTGTGTTATTTAGTTTTCTAATATTTGGGGATTTTCCCAAAAATCTTTCTGTAATCTCTAATTTATTCCCATTTAGTCACAGAACATATTTTGCCTGATTTGAATCCTTTAAAACCTACTGAGATGTGTTTTATGGCCAATAATATGATAAATATTCATCTTGGACTTGAAAAGAATGTATTTTGTTGTTATTGAGTGGAGTGTTCTATAATTATCCATCTGGTGAAGGTGGCTGATAGTATTGTCGAAGTCTTCCATATTCGTACTGATTTTTCATCTGTTTTCTGTCAGTTATTGAGAGGTTTACTGAAATCTCTGGCATTATTGTGAATTTGTCAATTTCTCATTATAGTTCTATTAGTTTTTGCTTCAGGCATTTTAAAATTTTTATTAGGTGCATGAATGTATAGGATTATGTCCTTTTGATAAATTGACTTCTTCATCATTATTAAATGACCTTCCTTCTTCCTGGTAGTTTCCTTTGCTCAGAAATCTACTTTGTGTAATATTAGGCGGTAAGCTGGGCTCACCACATTTGTTTCTTGTCATTCAGAACTTTGTTGCCTGATAGCAAGTGTCTTGAAAACTGTTGTCTCATATATTTTGTTACGGGTTTCTTTTAGTTCTTTTAGGCAGAAGAATAAGCCTATTTTTCCATTTTAGCCAGAACAGAAGTCCAAAAATATTTTTTAAATTAATTATGGTGGTTCTCAGGTTTTTCTTTTTGTTTGTATTGGGGATACTTAGAAGACTCTAATGAAAGATAGAGACCTTAGCCTCTCATATCGACAGAGGCTTATACATGTAAAATCTTGATTGTAATTTCATGAGGTTTGCAGGCTTAGGGTTTATTTCATTCCTGCTCAGAGATCCTTATTTTCCAGCAAGTATTTTCAACCTTAATTATATGTTAGAATCACCTGGGGAACTTTAATAACTAACCATGCTTTACCCTGACCTATGAAATCTGAACCTTTAGTAGTGGGACCCAGACTTTGGTTTTAAAACTCCCTAGGTAATTCTAATGTGCAGCCAAACTTAAGAACAACTCTATTTTAAGACAAAGAAGTGACTTCCTCTCCACTTGGTTTCTCTACCTTCCCTTTGATGGCAAGTATCCTAGGGAAGATAAGATATATATATCCTGGAAGACTCCAGGATCGATAGGAAGCCAGTTGCTTCTTAAACTCAACCTAACAGAGTGGGTTACTTTTTAAAAATTGCTAATACCACATTCAGATATTGTTCTGATAAATTGTATCTAGATTTTTATCAAAAGTGCACACGGAAATTATAATAAGAAACTTTTTCAGTTGTTTCACAATTTGCTTTAGCAAAATTAAAAATGTTAGAATATCCCTCTGGTAAACAGAAGACAGCTGTATATCAACTAACATGGACCTTAGCACCCAAAGGCCTGCAAGAAATAAGGCTATAAATAAGTAGGAATTTAAATTTTCTAAAACTTTGGATATTTTTTATGTGCTTGCTTTGTATTTAGGTTTTATGCTATGTCAAATGTGACTTAAGTTATTGGTAATTCATAGTGAAAAATGTACTTCATGTTGACTTAAGTAAGCCACTGTGTGTGTTTAGCTATTTTTTAAAAATTCCATACAGTAAGAGAAAATAGCACAGAGCACTCTTAATGAGAGAATTCTGGTGTGACATGCACTCTGGGATTCCAAGACTGATTGAGTTCATATTGAGTCACTTAGATGTGTCAAATTATATAATACATGGAGTAGTCAGTGTGGAATACCAGTTACTTTTGTGTAAGCTAATTTTTTGGTATGATTTTTTTTTTTAAATGAAGAACTTGAACATTGTGTCCTTTTTGTGTATTAAGCTGTTCATTTTCTGATGATTCTATAAGTAATGGTAGATTTGTAAGGGTTTAAGTGATTTTATATAAATCTGGTTTAAAATATTTTCTTTGTCATTGATTTTAACCAACTTTTACCTATAGCTGTGAACTTCACAGATGTTAATGAAGAAAACAAAAATGATCTCTTCAGAGAAGTGTTTTCTTCCATTGAAACCTTGGCCCTTACCTTTGGGAATATGTAAGTAAGAGGACTCTCATTTAACCTATTTTGGGCCTACATATCTTAGTGAGTGTTATGTCACTTAATTCAGTAAATACATATTAAGTAAATTGTTAACCAATATAAAATAGGATCACTTTGGAAAAGCTATATACTGTGTTGTTTTAATACTATATTTGAAGGTGTCTTTAGAGCTATTTATGAGCAGCATTTATTTGCAAGTGACTGTATGGTTTATGTATAATAAATAGAGTCTTAGGAATTTATTTCTAAGGATCTTATTTAAAAAATTTATTCTGGATGACATATTGAATGTAAATCCTGTGACATAGCAATGTAATGACTTGTTGGTTTTTTTTCTTTTTTTCTTTTTTTTTAACCTCCCTTAATAGTCTGACGAACTTCCTTATGGGAGATGTAGGCAATGATTCATTATTTCGACTGCCTGTTTCTCGGGAAAGTAAGGTAGGGCAAATTTGTGTGAAAGCAAAGATTTTAATATTTTTAACTTAATATTTCAATAATTTTCTAATCTTAATCTCAGCATACTCTGTTATAGTTTTTTATCTTAGCAAGAAAAACATATCAATTGATATTAAATATTATAATTTACTAGAGCCCAGTGCATGAAAATTCATGCACTGGAGGGTGGGTCCCTCAGCCTGGCCTGCCTCCTCTCACAGTCTGGGAGCCCTCCAAGGTGGAAGGCGACCTGGCAATCAGGGGAAGATGACGCCCTATTACACCTTTGCTCCTGCCACTGCCTGCAGTGCAAGCCTCGGCTGGCCCTGGGTGGCTGGGCAGCCGCCATCTGAGGCTTGCCTGCACCTCGGACTGGCCCTGGATGGCTGGAGGACTGAGGGGACTGGGGGACTCCAGAGGCAGGTGCGAGGAGCGGGTGGGCCACCTGGCCTTGGCACACGCCTACCTGCCGCCCAGGTGAGGCTGAGGTGACTAGGCGCTGCCATCTTGTGGCTGCTGGTGCCGCCATCTTTGAGAGTGGGGAAGTCAATTAGCATATTCCCTCCTTATTGGCTGTGGGCGCTGCCATCTTTGAGGGCAGAGCAGTCCATTAGCATATTCCCTCCTTATTGGCTGTGGGCACTGCCATCTTTGCGATGGTGTGTCAGCATATTCCCTTTTATTAGATAGGATGGTCATTTCTGGAACAAAAATGTAATTGTACTTTTTAAGTAGAACTATCATTTAAAAGAACACAGCTGATCATTTTAGTGTCTTATGTAATGAATTTATATCATACGGTCCAAATTTTTAGTAATTCTTAACCAGTTTTCTCTATTGACATTGTCTTAAGTAAAGAAATGTTCATATTTTCACAAATTCTACAGTTTGTTTGTTACCATGAAACACTTATTAACAGACCTAAGTCTCTTTAAGAGCATCCCTATAAGTATGTCAGAGGATTGGGTTCTGATTTCCAATTGGAAGAAAAATTGCTGTGAGATAATAGGACATAGAGGAGTCTATGTAGAATATTTCTTTAAAGGTTTATAGTTGTAGTATTTTTATTTAAATACATGTTTTTCACCAAATGTAAGAAATTTAAACAAACTGTATTAGGAATATGTTGATCATTTCCTGTTAAGGATGATCATATTCAAAAAGGATTTCAACCAATATTTGGAAATGTGTCAAGTACTTTTAGTATAATCAAAATAATAGAAAAGTTCCAGGTCTCTCTTAAAATGATACACAAAATATAAATGACTACGTGAGGCATTTGTTATGCGCTACATTATTGAGAAAAGAAACTTTACTATTTCTAAAGTCTCCATTGATTAAGGAGAATAGTATATAAAGCATATCAGAATGGTGAAGAATTTTAAGAGCTTTGAATATTTTGCTATCATTCGTGATCTTTTTTTCATTATTATCTTTTCAAACGTTCTAGTTCGGATGATGTAATAAAAATTGTATCTATGTGACAAGGCTCTGAACATTGTAACTTTTTGGTGTGAATCCTATTTTCTGTTCTGTGACTCTGTTATGCATACAAATTATATTAGTTCTTAATAGGAAAATATTTTTTGCTTTTTTTTTTCCTTTTGCTCATTGTTTTCCTTTTTGCAGTTTTTAATTTCTAGAAATTGAAATAAAGTGAAGATATAATATTAAAAATTTTTTAAATTACTTTGAAGAGTTTTAAAAATATATTTAAAAATAATAGCTGCCATTTATTTAATGGTGTTTATTATGTATTATGTACTGTATGAAGCCCGTATCATCCCAGTCTTTAAAATACCCTTATGAAATTAGTGCTCTTATCCTCATTTTATAAGCAGGCAAACTAAAATTAAGTGAGCTTAAATTAAATATGTAGCCTTGTGTCATACAGCTAATAAGTTATAGAGATGGATTTCAATCTCAAGTCCCTTTGGTCTCTTTTGCATTGAATTTTTGCATTTACCCAATTAAATAGACCATGTTTGTTTGTGATCTAACAATTTTGGTAGATAATGTTTTCCTGCACTGTCCAATAAGGTAGCCTCTTGCCACATATAGCTCTATTAATTTAAATTAATTAAAATAAATAAGATTAAAAGTGCATTAGTCATTTTCAAATGCTCAAATAGCTACATGTAGCTAGTAGCTACCTTATTAGGTAGTGCAGATATAAGACATTTCCATTATTATAGAAAGTTCTGCACTGTGCTTTCCAGTAGATAAAATGCTTGTCTATAATAATAAAGGCATAATATGCTAATTAGACCGGACAGCTGATCGACCTTCTGGTTGTCATTCCAGACAAAACCACCACGAGGGCTAAGTCAGAGGCAGTTAGAGGCAATCAGGCAAGCAGGCAGAGTGGTTAGGGGTGATCAGGCAGGCAGGCGAGCAGTTAGGGGCATCAGATAGGCAGGCCGGCCGGCAGGCCAGTGGTTAAGAGCCAGTGATCCTGGATTGCGAGAAGGTGCAGTCTTGGCCGAGGGACCCCCTATGTACAAATTTTGTGCACTGGGCCTCTAGTCATATAATAAAATGGTAAAAGGGCTGGAAGAGATAGGTCTTTGTCTACTGTTTAAATAGCAATCTATTTAAATTGTTTATATAACTTCCTAACTAATATTTTTGAGATCTGCAGAATTTATGTTTTGAATAGATTCATTAACATTAACTAATGCTGTTAGTAAATAATGTGGTTATTTATTCTTGGACCTTGAGAACTGCTGTTGTAAAAAGCTATATAATTCTTATAAAATGTTCTGACATTTGAACAGAGTTCTCAGGCCTTTTGAATTCTAAATACTTGAGATTCTTTAGCAGGAATTATGTCAGAGTAACAAATTAGAGTGAAAAAATTCTGAAGCAAAAATCTGTTACTTTCTGCTCTAATTTTAAATTTGTTTTCTTCCATGTTGTAAGTCTTTTGAAAATGTTTCTGTGGAATCAGTGGACTCATCCAATGAAAAAGGTAATGCTTAAGGTACTTTAAACCTTTTTTGAACTCTTTGCAGTTAAATTCAATAAATGTTTTGAATTTTGATAAACATTTTGGATCTCTTTCTGCTTAGTAACCTAATATATTTATCTTAACATAAGCAGACATGCAAAGTTTTACATATGAAACTTAAAGAAAAAACCCTGCTGGAGTAGATATTATCTAGATACTGATCAAGAATTATTGGGCTGGCCCTAGCTAGTTTGGTTCAGTGCATAGAGCGTCAGCCTGTCCTGGGTTCGATTTTAGTCAAGGGCACATCCCTGGGTTGCAGGCTCAACCCCCAGGAGTTGTGCAGGATGCAGCCAATCAATGATTCTCTCTCATCATTGATATTTCTATCTCTCTTTCCCTTCTCCCTTCCTCTCTGAAATCAATAAAGATATATTTTAAAAAAAGAATTATTGGGCTGGTAACTTGATGAGTAATAGAAATACACATTAGGATCAAGAGTAAATTTTAATTTGTTTAAACTGTGACTTTAATTCTAAATTTGTTACTTGTATTTTTTAAACCTGTTTTCATTGAAGAGCATCTTAGAATTTGAATGTTTCTTTGTGTAAAATTACATGCTCATATTTAATATGTGCTTATCTTAATATTTTTATTTTCAGTAAATTTTTCTCCTGCAGAACTAGACAGCATGCTGTTAAAGAACACTGACTCTGTAGAACTGGCTTTGTCATATGCTAAAACATGGTCAAAATATACCAAGAACATAGTGTCATGGGTTGAAAAAAAGCTTAACTTGGGTAAGTGGGCCTTTGAAGAATCTGATTAAATTTGGGGTGTAAGAACTAAATTGTTTGCAATTCATTTGCTACAGACTGAGTAATATGATTCCAAATTAATAGCTATCTCATTGTAGTGAATAAAATCATTGTCAATTTTCTCTTCTTGAAATAAAAACTTTTCCTACAATAAATGTTCTTAGCAAACATTACTATAGAGCAGCCACTACATCTCAGGACACAAAGACAAATAACATACTGTATTTGCCTTTAAGGAATTCATACTTTAGTGGCTAAAAGAAATGCAATCCTAGCTAATAAATGAGTAATATGCAAATTGACTGTCACTCCAACACACAAGATGGCTGCCCCCATGTGGACACAAGATGGCCATCAGGGGAGGGCAGTTGGGAGGGATCAGGCCTGCAAGGGAGGGAAGTTGAGGGCGATCAAGCCTACAGGGGAGGGCAATTAGGGGGGACCAGGCTTATATGGGAGGGCAGTTAGGGGCAATCAGGCTGGCAGGGGAGTAGTTAGGGGGTGATCAGGCTGGCAGGCACAAGCGGTTAGGGGCAATCAGGAAAGCAGGCAGGTGAGCAGTTGGGAGCCAGCAGTCCTGAATTGTGAGAGGGATGTCTTGACTGCCTATTTAGGCCCGATCCTATTGGTAGGATAGGGCAATTGGATGTTCCTTGAGGGGTTCCAAATTGGAGAGATTGCAGGCTGGGCTGAGAAATTTACCTCCTCCCTCCTCCTCCCCCCCTCGCCGCACAAATTTTATGCACCAGGCTCTAGTTATCAAGGTAACATGGTAAAAGGAGATAAAACCAACAATAGATGTATGAACAGAGGGCAATGGAAACATATAAGGAACATCTTATTACCTAATATTTTCCCCAGTGTTTATGGTAGACAAAATGCTTTTATATCCATTATTCCATTTAGTCCTTATCAAAGCCCTATGAAGTAGGCAGGACAAAAATTATTATTCTCATTTTACAGCTGAGACAATCAAGATAGGTGATTTGCTTAAAGTTAAGCAAACAGATTTGCCTAAGATCACATAACAGTAACTGGAAGAATATAGAATTTACCCAAAACCTGTGAGAATGCCCTTCAGAATCACCTAATTAGTCTTACAAAAGGATAATATACAGGCCTAGATCCCATTCCCTAGAGAGTAAAGTTCTAAGTAAGTAAGTTTTGAAGGTTTCCCAGTTAATTTTGACAAACACTTTGGATGACGAATCGCAGCATCATATCATGATGTGAACTACTATTTGTGATCACTTTTTAATTGGAGAATCACAAAAATTTTGGAGTGTAAGAGGGGATAAATAATTTTTTTAAATCTTCTGATGCTTTCTTTGACCTTTTCAGAATTGGAGTCCTCTAGAAATATTGTTAAGTTGGCAGAGGCAACTAGAACTAACTTTGGACTACAGGTAAGTTTTCAGTGAACTATTAGGGTTCTATACCAAAAGATTATTGGTATAGAAGAGATTATTCAGATGAGCTCCTATAATGCCTTACAAAATCAGAAAACGTCATAGTTCATATAGGAAAGAACTTACATGGTAAACTTTTTGTTAACAGAATAAAATCCTTTTAAATTGATTTGGATACTCATGAAAAAAAAAACCACCTAGAAAGTTCACAATCTTACATGAATGTTATCTTATTAGTTACTAATTTTGCTAGTTTTATAATTATCCTTAATTTTCTTCAATATTTTTCCCATAGTCACATTTATAATTAGATATTTTTCCTTAAAAATAAAGTCTAAACTTAAAATTTCTCTTTTTTAAGAAGAGTGGGGAGGGGGAGGGTCTGGAGCACTAGTGCAATTTCTATTGGAAAATTTATTTTCCATTTTTAAATTCTAGGAGTTTATGCCACTGCAGTCTCTATTTACCAATGCTCTTCTTAATGATATAGAGAGCAGTCACCTTTTACAGCAAACAATTGCAGCTCTCCAAGCCAACAAGTTTGTGCAGGTAAAAATTTATATGTACAATACACATATTTAAAAATAATAGCATACCTTTAGAAAACCGTGTTTTTTCTTTCTTTTTAAAAAATACCTTGACAGCCTCTACTTGGGAGGAAAAATGAAATGGAAAAACAAAGGAAAGAAATGAAAGAACTTTGGAAACAGGAACAAAATAAAATGGTTAGTATTTTAATGGAATTTTATTTACCTATTTGTGAATATTTAAATCATCTGTACTAGCCCAGCTGGTGTGGTTCGGTGGTTGGGTGTCCCTCCACTCATGAACCAGGAGGTCACTATTCGATTCCAGGTCAGGACACATGCCCAAATCATGGGCTTGATCTCCATCCAGTAGGGGGTGTGCAGAAGCAGCCAATCAATTATTCTCATCATTGATGTTTCTATCTCTTCCTTTTAAATATGTATTTTTAAATTAATTAAAAACATATTTAAAAAATCATCTGCAGTATACAAGCAACACCCTGAGAAGGTGCATATCTTACTCTTTAGTTTTTCTGAATTCTGTATTAACTATTTTGCTGAAAATGCTAAAGAAATCTATAACTTGGGGTTTCTTTCTTATTCTCTATTTAATTTTTTTTTCTTCTATGTAGCTTGAAACAGAAACTGCTCTTAAAAAGGCAAAATTGTTATGCATACAACGTCAAGATGAGTATGAAAAAGCAAAATCTTCCATGTTTCGTGCAGAAGAGGAGCATCAGTGTGCAAGCGGTGGATTAGTGAAAAATCTCAATAAGCAGCTAGAAAAAAAGCGAAGGCTAGAAGAGGAGGCTCTTCAAAAAGTAATGGTTTTTGTTGTTATTTGCAAGATGAATTAGCAATAATCTGTTAAAGCTTTGGTTCTCAAACTTCAGCATGCATCAGAATCACCTGAAAGATTTGTTAAAAAGACTGCTGGGGCTCACCCAGAGTTTCTGATTCAGTAGGTCTAGGGTTAGCCTCATCTTGCATTTGTAATAAGTGCCCAGGTGTTGCTGCTACTGCTGGGGATCCACACTTTGAGAAGAACTATGCTAAGAGACTTTTGCTTAACTTTTGAATTTTTAGGTTTGTTTGTGAAAAGAGGTATATTAGAGAAAGTAGTAATTTAATATTTTTGACTTGATTCTTTATGAATGTATATGTGTATTAATCTAAATACCTAATAACAAGGCTAGGCTGAAGCTTTGTCTTTATGAAATATAATTTAGTAAATTCTGTAAGAAGATTATGTAGACAATGGTAAGTGTAAGTAGAAAAGGCTATTAAGTAGAATTGGACATTTATAGGCAAACAATATACTAATTGTAAATTGTACTTGACTATTCATTGATAATAGTCTCTTAAATCAGTGATCAAAACAAATTATTTATCTTTAAAAATATGCTATTTAAAACAAAACATCAGAATTATATGCATAAAGGCTTTCAGTTATTATTATTTAAATTTATCTTTGTTGTTGTATTATAGACGTCCCCTTTGTTTTGTTGTTATTTTTTTTCCTATTGACCCCCTCTTCTCTGCACCTGCCCCCCCCAAGCCTTCACCACACTATTGTCTGTTATTTAAGCTTTACTGCAGTAGGATTTGTTTTAAAATATAGATTCTGAGGGTTAATGTTATTTTTTTGTGTGTGACTCCTGAAGGTAGAAGAAGCAAATGAACTCTATAAAGTTTGTATGACAAATGTTGAAGAAAGACGAAACGATCTAGAAAATACTAAGAGAGATATTTTGGCACAACTCCGGAAACTTGTTTTCCAGTGTGATCTTACCCTAAAAGCTGTAAGTAATTTCTTTAGTACTTTGAAGGCAGGAGGGAAAAAATTATCTGCAGAAGAGAGAGAGAGAGAGAGAGATGCTTGATGTGTCATGATAAAATTAAATCCAATGAATCTTAAGGGATTTAATGTCTACATTAATGGAACATTTAGAGTTTTAAAATTGGCTAAGTTTTTAATAATGGTTTGAATTACATTTTTTTTAATCTGGTTCCCCTTACCCTCACCTCATGAGTAGATTAATTGTTGAATTAAAACTGATGTCTGAGATTTTGGTATTGCCTTTATGCCACTGTCTATTTTAGCTTGGTTAGGATTTGACCCCTGAAACTTTCTATCAGCAGCACTGTGAGATCTGTTTTTAAAAAATTGAGTAAACTAAGTATTAAAATTGAGCCCAGTGATTTACTTGAAAACAAAATAATCCTGCCCTTAAGTGTTTTCATTTGCCTCTTTAAACTTGTTTTTTTGGGGGGGAAAAAAACTTAAAACTCACCTTTTTTGGGGGGTTGTACATTTTACAAATTTTCTCACATGTATAAATTTGTGTAACCACTCACCATGACAATTAAGATTCAGAACAATTCCACTTCAGAAAATTTCCTCACACTGCCTCTTTGTACTCAAATTCCCCACTCACTCCTAACCCCAGGCAAGTATTGATGTGTTCTCCATCTTTCTAGTTTAGTCTTTTCTAGAGTTTCATATAAATGGAATCATTAGTATGTAATCTTTGAAGACTCGCTTCTTGTACTCAACGTAATGCATTTAAGATTCATCAATATTATGCATGTATTAATAGTTTATGTCTTAGTTCAAAGTAGTATTCCATTACATGAATGTTTATCCATTCACCTATTGGATATTTGGGTTATTTCCAATTTGGAGTGAATATGAATAGTATTATGAATATTTGTTTGCAGGTTTTTGTGTTAATGTAAGTTTTCATATTTCTAGGGTAAATGTATAATAGTGAGATTACATAGAGCAGTTGAGAGGCTTGGGTTTCAATAGAGGAAGCCAACCTGGCCAGCCTAGGTCTTCACTCAAGGATGTAAAGTTTCAATTATAGAAGATAAATCTCAAGAAAAATGGCTGGCAGCCATGGAGCTGGAAAGAGCAGGCTAGGGTTTCCCCTGGCAATGGAGGAAGCAAAGCTTTCCACCTGCCCTGGCCAAGTCTAGGCCTCCACTCAAGGATACAAAGTTCAATTATAGAAGATAAATAAAACCAAACAGAAATGGCAGCAGCCAGAGTGAGCAGGGGGCTTGGCTGTACTCCAGGCTACAAAGTTTCAATTGTAAAAGGTAAATAAATTCCAGATACCAGGGCCTCTGCTTGGGTCACCAAGGGGTGTGGCTGGCCTGCAAACCACCACAGACCCCTCGCCCAGGCCACCCCACACCCCAAGGGAATCCCCACCCTGATCCAGGACACTATTCAGGGCAAATCAGCTGGTCCCCTCCTGTGTACCAGGCCTCTATCCTATCTAATAAAATAGTAATATGCAGATTGACCATCACTTGTGTTCATGTGGACACAAGATGGCCACCACAAGGTGGCCAGCAGGGGAGGGCAGTTGGGAGGCACCAGGCCTGCAAGGGAGGGCAGTTGAGAGGGACCAGGTCTGCAAGGGAGGGCAATTGGAGGCGATCAACCCTGCAGGGGAGGGCAGTTAGGGGTGACCAGGCCAGCAGAGGATGGAAGTTGGGGGCAAACAGGCTGTCAGGGGAGCAGTTAGGCATCAATCAGGCTGGCAGGGGGTGGTTAGGGGCGATCAGGCTGGCAGGCAGAAGTGATTAGGGGCAATCAGGAAGGCAGGCAGGCGAGCAGTTGGGAACCAGCAATCCTGAATTGTGAGAGGTATGTTCGACTGCCTGTTAGGATCGGGTCTAAAGGGGCAGTTTAACATCCCTCAAAAGGTCCCAGATTGGAGAGGGTGCAGGCTGGGCTGAGAGACCCCCTACCCCCACCTCCTGCATGAATTTTGTGCACCGGGCCTCTCTGAATAATATACTAGTGGCCTTTAAGGTATAGGGATGGTCTCCTGTTGTTTGGTAACAGGCCTGGGATAATATATGGTATGGGAAAATATTGGCTCTGTGAGTGAGAGATGATGAGATAGTTGGAATTGCATATGAAAGAAGTGCTCCCAGGCTAAGAATTGGCAAGTCCTGGGAGGAGCAGTCACTCCCCAACCAGTAAGCTTTTTGAAATGTCAAAATAATGTCATAAAATAAGGAACATGATTAATACAGGTGTTAAACTTGTTCCAAGACCATTTGTTGGAAACATTGTGTCATCTCCATTGAATTGACTGCATCATTGTCAGAAATCAGCTGACCATGTTTTTGTAGGTCTTCCAGAGTTTCTATTTTGTTTCATGGATGAGTGTGTCTGTCTTTTGCCAAAACCCTCCTGTGTTGATTACTATTGCTTTATAGCAATTCTTAAAATCAGGTAGTGTTTTTTCCAACTTTATTCTTTTTCAGAATTGTTTTGAGTATTTAGGTTCCTTTGACTTCTGTTTTCTGAAAGAGATTGTGTAGAACTGGTGTTGTTTCTTTAAATGTTTGGTGGCATTGCCTGGTGTAAGCATAGGCTTTGCTTTCATTTTCAGATAATTTTTACTGTATATTCAGTTTCTCTGATATATGCCTGAGTTAATCATTTCTCTCTCTTTTTTTTTTTAATATTTTATTGATTTTTTACAGAGAAGAAGGGAGAGAGATAGAGAGCTAGATACGTCGATGAGAGAGAAACATCGACCAGCTGCCTCTTGCACACCCCCTACTGGAGATGTGCCCGCAACTAATGTACATGCCCTTGACCGGAATCGAACCTGGGACCTTTCAGTCCGCAGATCGACGATGCTCTACTGCTGAGCCAAACCGGTTTCGGCATAATCATTTCTTTTTGGTTGAATTTTTTGTAGTTTGTAGCTTTCATGGAACTGGTCTCATTTATCTAAGTTGTTGAATTTGTGTGCATGGAGTTGTTCATAGTACTCTCTTTTTTACTGTCTGTAGTAATATTTTATTTCAATCCTGGTAATTTGCACTTTCTTTCTCTCTCTCTCTGGTTAGTCTGGCCAGAGGTTTATAAATGTTCTTTTCAAAGAAACAGCTTCTGATTTCATTGGTTTTTCATTTTCTTTCGTTTTCTTTCTTTCTTTTTTTGTTAAATGTATTTCTGCTTGATTTGGGTTCATTTTGATTTTTAAAAAATTTTTCCCCTAAAGTTTGCATTGTCATTTAGCTTCCTATATACTTCCCTTCCTCCGCTCATTATCCTACATATCCCTGCAATCACCACACTAATGCTTTTCTTTTAAATTACTTAAAGGTGGAAACTTAGATTGTTCATGGAGACCTCCCTGCTTTTTAAATACACATATTTAATTATTTAAATTTCCCTATAAGCACTGCTTTTCTACATCCCACAAATTTTAAATTATATATATACATATATATATATTTTTAATATTTTATTGATTTTTCATAGAGAGGAAGGGAAAGGAGAGAGAGTTAGAAACATCGATGAGAGAGTGACATCGACCAGCTTGCCTCTTGCACACCCCCCACCGGGGATGTGCCTGCAACCAACGTACATGCCCTTGACCAGAATCGAACCTGGGACCTCTATCCATTGAGCCAAATCGGTTTCGGCTTGAATTATATATTTTTATTTTGTATAGTTCAGAATGTTTTTTAGTTTCCCTTGAGACTTATCTTTGACCTGTAGAAGTTTATTGTTTAATTTCTTTCCTGGCTATCTTTCTGATACTGATTTCTAGTTTATTTCTGTTATGGTGAGAGGAATACTGAGTATGAATTCAGTTCTCTTAAATTTGTCATGGTTTGTTTTATGATTCTGTCTTGGTAAATGTTCCAAGTGTGCACTTGATGAAAACAATGTTTATTTTGCTGTTGTTGGCTGAAGAGTTGCGTAAATGTCAATAAATTACTGTTGGTTTATTTTGTTATTTTTTTCTTCTATGCCTTTGATTTATTTTTATGAGTTGCTGAGAAAAGAGTTTTAAAGTTTTTGAAATATTGTGTATTTTTAGTTCTATCCATTTTTGCTTTATATGTTTTGAAACTCTGTTAGATACTTATATATTAATAACATATATATATATTTTTAAATGGGTATTTTTATTTTTTTTAAAATATATTTTATTGATTTTACACAGAGAGGAATTGAGAGGGACAGAGAGTTAGAAACGTCGATGAGAGAGAAACATCGACCAGCTGCCTCTTGCACACTCCCCACTGGGGATGTGCCCGCAACCAAGGTACATGCCCTTGACCGGAATCAAACCCAGGACCTTTCAGTCTGCAGGCTGACGCTCTATCCCCTGAGCCAAACCGGTTCCGGCTAATAACATATATTTTTGGTGAATTGATCCTTTTATCCTTATGAAATATTTTTTGATCCTGGTAATTTTCCTTCCATTTTAGTGTACTTTATTTTAATATTGATATAACTATTTCAATTTTCTCATGTCTTATTTTTAGCATGGTATATCTTTTTCCATTTTTTTATTTTTAACCTAATTATTATATTTAAAGTGAATTCCTTATGTATCATATATCATATAGTTGTCTTGACCTTTTTATTTATTTTTAAAGAATAGTTTATTGATTTTTAGAGAGAGAGAAAGAGTGAGGAAGTGATATTGATGTGAGAGGTAAACATCCATCCGCTGCCTCCTCGTGCCACCTACCAGAAATTGATTCTGAAACCCAGGCTTCTGCTATGACCTGGAATCAAACTGGCAATCTTTTGGCACATGGGACAACACTCAACCAATTGAACAACACTGGTTGGGACTGTCTTGACTTTTTAAAAATCTATTTGACATTGTCTTTTTAAGAGAAGTGTTTAGACAATTTATGTTTATTGTAAATATATTTTCAAGATTTAGGTCTATTTCATTATTGGTTTTCTGTGTATATCATGTTTTCTTTTATTTTCCTCTAGCTACTTATTTTATCTATT